CTGGCTGCCCAGCCCCGGCTCCTCCAGCTGCTCTCGCTGTGGACTTGCAAGTCCAGTGTAACCCACGTGCCACTGGGGTGTTTTTCCTGGTCAGGGGTGTTTTCCTCAGCCTGGATGGTCCTTCTTGGGTCATGCTGGCCACCTTGGCTGCATGGGGTCCTTGCTGGCACCAGCCCTGGGCAGTGGCAGCAGACTGGTGGGCTCAGGGTCTCATGCAGCAATGTCATGAGGGTACAGCAGGGCTGATTGTCCCTCCATGCTCTGGAAGCTGTTATTTGCTGTTGTTTGCAATCTCAGCACCAAAAAGCAGAGGTAAAAGGAGTTATCTTGTAAAAGAAAATAGTAACCATTTTCTTTTTCAATAACCCCTCTTCAGGTCTTTCCCTCTACTGTAAAAGCTGAGTCTCAGTGGGACCCTCTGCTGCCATTACACCCTCTAAGCTGTTTTCTGGAAAGCTTTCCATAACTGCTATCAGCTCCAGTGGTGGATCTGCAGGGAAGGGCTCCTTAACTGGGCACTGCTGAGCCCAGGCTACCATCCTCTGCTGCCTCCTCCTGCCGCCCCAGCACTCCCCAGTGGTCTCCCCTGTGCCCTGCGACATCTCCGCGCGGGTCAGCAGATGCAGGAAAAAGGGGCTGGTCCTGATGAAGAAATGGCATCATATGCTGCCAAAGTTGATCTTGATAAGTTTCCTTGGGTTGTTACAGGCAGATAACCAGGACATTGCTATCCAGGAGTGTGCGTTCTGCCTGCCGGCAGTGCTGTCTGGCTTTATTAGCTTTTCTCATTCACTCCTGGGGTCCAGCAGTGCTTATCTGCACAGGAAAGTCAATTTTGGGACAAGATAAAGACCAGCTGAAAGCTCGGTAGCCCTTCCAGAATAACCATACAGATTAAATCAAGTAGTAGCAAGGCAGAGATTTGTCCCACCATTGTTTGGTGTCAGGAGTCAGCACCAAGCGGCTACATCCCTGGAGAGTCCCTGAGCTCTCCTGTGTGTCAGATCACCCTCCAGGAGCCTCTCTCCCTCCCCTTGGCTAAAGAGGGGCATTTAATGTCTTAAATGCAGTGCCAATAGTCATTTAATGATGTATTGTTGGGGGCCCCAGTCATGACTTGATGCGTTGTCTGAAGAGATGCTGTAAGCAGTTGACTGAATTCCAACACACCTTCTGCCATGGAGGAATTGCACAGGGACTCTCGCTGTAGCTAAGAATACCAATAATATCCATCTGAACCCAGACCTCATCCTGAGGCTTCATTAAAGGCCTCTGTAAGTCTTTGACTCTTTTCCAAACTCTTTTAAATTACTAAGTTGCAAGAGTTACAGTCACACCTATAATGAGAGTTTGGCATCCATCGCTGCTAGCTTTGGTACAGATGTTTTCCAAAATATCTAAGATTCAATCAAAAGGATATCTTGCTCTCTCCAATCATACTTTCTTTTCTTTAATGTAATCCAATTTTCTAGTTTGTTTGCTTGCCCCTTATTTTTGAACTCTTTGATTAGTATCCGCTTTAAAAAAATACTTAAAAATCAATGTCACTTGTAAGCTGAGAGCTGCGAGGACTGAATGCTGTCTACTTATGGCCTCCTTCCCAATTAGCACTCTGTTATTCACAGATGATGATACAGTAAATATGAGGGAAGCAGTATTATACCTCCTGTGAAAGGATTTTTCTGTTCAGGTGCTGTCATTTATATGGCACAGGCTGGTGGGTTTGTGCCCATAAAGTTAATATTATTTTATCAATTTATGGTCTCCACATGTGCCTGATTATGTGTCTGGAGGATTTCGGTTGAGCAGACTTCATGTGTCCCACTATTGAGTACACCTGGGTTTCTTTTGATCATTTTTTATGTTGCTGAGTCTCAACTTTTATATAGCTGAGCTGCTCATAATCAAAGTCTTTTTCTGCTCCTTACTACACAAATAAAGAGAGACGTGATGTGCTGGCCTTGGGGATTTGCAGACTGGCACTGTGCAGAGGAACCTCCACAGCAATTTTGGAGGAGAGACCTGCAAATGCAAATGCAAGTGCAATTAAATCAGGGCTCAGGTGTAGCCTAGTGGTCTGACTTCACCTGCTCCTTAAGATGGATAAACCCCTGTAGATTTGTGGGCATCTCCATTAATTAACTTCTCGGTGAAGGTAAAAGAGTGTCTTCTTGTTTCCCCTACAGGGAATGTTTTCTTAGCGCTGCTTTCTGATCAGGACGCAGCTGTTGGGGGAGAGACAGCACAGTCATCTCACAGGTATCTGTTCCCATGTGCCACCGCGTTAGGAGAGCTGAACAACCCGGCTGGATGACCCGGGGTTGCCAGGATTTTAGGCTGTGAGGTTTGTTGCTCCAAGAAGTGTCAGGTAGCATTGATGAAGCAACGTGGGATGGGAGTGTTCAATGCAAATGAGGACCAATATGAGTCAAGACTATATATATTTTCCTAATTAGAGACAGTTTTGTTTCTTTCCTTTGCAGATAGTTTTCCAGCAGACTGCATGTCTCTTTAGATGGGAAAGCAGCAGCAAAATGCAAATTCCATGAGACTGATTTAATAACTCTGTTAAACTACAGGGAGAGCAGAAAGAGCCAGAGCTGAACAAAAATTGCCATCAGATTTCCCAACCAACTTCCCAGACTTGGAAGAGGCAGATGGACACCTGATCTTTCAGACATGTGGCATGGCTGAATTTCCAAGCCTCTTGAGATGCCTCCTCCTTGCTTTTCTCCTCTCTCTGTTTCCCCTTGGAAATCCATCACAGACCCAACCATAACTGTGTGTTAGATGCTGCTGGTGGAGCCATGGGGAGTCAGTTCTTCAGGGCAGGCTCCCCAAACTGTGCCTGTAGGAGCAGACTCAAGTCCACTGAGCAGCTGGTGTTTGCAGTACCAAATCACAGCTTATTGCTGAAGTAGCTTCTGCTGGAAAGGAGCTGAGTCGGGAGCCTCCGGCACTCCGGGGCTGGGCAGGAACCCTCCTGGGGTAGGTCTTATGCAGACCCCTGCCTGCTGGTGTGGCTGGGCTAGCCTGGGCCACCAGCAGTGCAGCACATAGGACAGGGACTGGCTCTCCATCCAGACCCAGACCACAGCCAGGGCTTCATCAGAACCCTCCAGGTAGCCCCATGGACACATCAGGGCTCAACGCTAAAAGGGAAATTTTAATTGCACTTTAAACTCATTGCACAGTGTCTGATGCCATTTGAGGTAGATATGTATACCTGTTGCCTTGGATTATGCTTTCGTTGGAGTGGTTTTTAAATCCACAGTGTGATATTGTATCTCTCACGGCTATTTGTGATGACCACAACCCCCAGAAGATCGGAAGTACCAATGCTTTTTCTATTATTTTGTTTGTTTGTTTGTTTGAATGAACTTATTAGCCTGTAAACACTGCAAGTGGGAAGCCCTCATGGCCTGCCACGAGTGCTGGTGACAGACAGGCAAACAAAAGCAGTGAACGAAATGTTCCACTTAATCATTTTCTAACACTGTTGCAAATAAAACACTTTTATTGTTTCCATGGCAGATGCTTTCCACTTATGATGAATTGATGATGTCAAGTTGCTTTATGTTTTCTCCCTCTTCTGTTCCTCCTTTTCGCAGGCCAGACGATGTGATGCTGAAGCGCACCCACGATGAGACTGTCCTCTTGCACTGCTTCCTCTGGCCTCTGGTTACGTTCCTGGTTGGAGTGCTCATCGTGGTCCTGACCATCTGTGCCAAGAGCTTGGCTGTCAGGGCAGAGGCAATAAAAAAGAAGAAGCATTTGTAAACAGCAAGGCTGCTCACAGAAAAGAAAACCCTGCAAGAAGATCTCAAGTGGGGCAACTCGACACACCTGCAGGCCTGTGGGGTCACCCAGCTGCACCTCCTTCCACTGTCTCGTCTGACGGTGGAGTTGCTCTTGCCTCAGGATTATTCTTGGGGGACTGCCTCATGAAATGTCAGCTAATTGCTTCTTCTGCTATGACAGTAAATAAGTATATTGTACCAAAAAAGAATCTACACTGCACCAAATATGCTGTGCGCTGTTAGTCCCGAACAGCAGCTATCCAGGTCCTCGTGGTATCGAGAGACAGTTTATAAAACCCTCCGATGTCGCTCATTTCATCTCCACAAAGTGATCTTTACGATTGTTTAATACTAAATATTTAAAATATTTACTTTGTGATAGACTGCATTTCCAAAATAATAAAGTTTGGTTGTTTGGGTTTGTTTTTTATTTTTAACCTTTGTTCTGTCCTTGCTGTTGGTTGTTGGTTTTTTTTTTTTTTTAAAAAAAAGCTTTCAGACAAAAATAACTGTGATGATTTTGGTTTTTTCGCTGTGTAGAACTTCATTTTAAAATTCAAACTTTAACTTCTGTCTAGACAAAATTTTTCATCATCGCCTGTTCATTGTGAAGAAATGTAGAAATCTCTCAGAAATACTTCTCCAAAAAATGAAACGATTATTGGAAAAGGTGATTAAATACTAGATCTAATTTCATTGCCTCCGTGGTATTCAGTCCCTAAAGTTTTTCTTGTCCCCTCTCAGTTACCCTCTTCACCAAAATGCTCTCAGGCTGTAAGGAGCAGGGATTTGGAGTGGTTTTACATGGAGATCTTTTACCAGCGATTTCCCCAAATAGTGGAGTGCCTGAGTGCTTGCTGAGAGGAGCCTGTGAGCTGTGGTGTGACACATGTCACTGGGCTCCAGGGGTGGCTGGAGAAGGCCATCAACTCTTTGTAGGGCTGTGGGGGTTTGCTGCTGAACTGCCCATCCCAGTCACACCAGATCCATGCAGGGTCTCTCTAAAGGGATGCTCCAGAAAACACAAGGCAAGTTGGACACAGCATCATGCTGGGTGGCCTCTCTCTTCTTGTCCCAGCTCCTCACTGTGTATGACAAGAGTACCGGCCCTAGTCTTCAATTAGGTCAGGTTGCTCAGAGCCCCGTCCAACCGGACTTCGAATGTTTCCAGAGATAAGGCATCTACCACCTCTCTGGGCAACCTGGTCCGGTGTTCCACCACTCATTGTAAAAAAAAAAAAATGGCCTTAGAGCGGTTTCCCGGAGCACATCCATTGCAAGCTGTAGTCGGGGTGAGATCAGAGTAGCTTCGTGGTACCCATCCTCGCCCCCGCAGGGCTGCGCACCCTTGGGACCAGCTGTGCGGCTTGGCAGGGCTGGCACGCAGTGGAGGAGAGAAGCCACATGGCTCAGTCAGGAAAGTGAGCCTCTCAGCGTGTAATTACTGGCAAAGCGTTTTAATCTACATTAATAATTCTGCAATTCTAACCACACTGTTCATTGTACTAATCTCTCTTAGTATTATGTTTAAATACCTCGTGTTTTGATGTGTTTTTAGCACATAGGAGAGGTATTTCCCGAGAATGAGAAAAGTGCTAGATTTGAAAGCATGAAAGTTTTATTGACGTAAGGCACAGTGACAAACCTGCTTGTGTTGCCCAGTCTGCGTCTCAGATTAATTGTATTGTGTGTTTAAGAACTGATTTGCATATGGCTTGTTATTTTGTAAACTTGAATATGTTGTGGGTGTTGTGGTGCCCAGTGATGAGGGTCATTCCCCACTCCACTGCTTACTTGCTATGTGACTTTTGGAGAGTCCTCTGGTCCCGGTTGACACCGGGATAGCTGTTCCTTGGAAGGAACTTAAGGAAATCTATTAGTGGAGGTGGGAACTTGATGCTACGTGGCTAGTTACTCTGTATGAAAGACCCAACTAATGTTGATTGCATATGTTGAAGCACTTCCGGTTTTGTGGGTGAAAAATGCTGCTTGCATGAAGAATTCCCAATTGTCTGTCAAACATCACCCCTTTGGAGGTGCTTGTTGTCAGGGTCATGCAGGTACCCTCTGTCTCAACCTGCTGAAAAGGATAGCACTGGGTGCATTGGATGAAGAGAGGTTATGAGCTCTCAGCCTGTCAAATGAAAGCCTGACGATGTCTGAAGTGCCGTCCTGCAAAGGACAAGGTGTTTGGTTTCACTCGTGCCTCGCTGCCGTGGCCCCGCTTGCATCCTCTGTGATTCTCATGCCTTGGCAACCGACAGAAGCATTGCACATGTGCATCTGGTTTTGGGGGAGTCAGTTACTATATATATATTTTTTATATATTAATTTTTCACACTCTGCAAACCACAGAAAGCTGTTGCTGTGGGGTGGTTTGGTTATCTGGGTAAGGTGGTGACAAGTTCCCTTCCTTTATTTCCTCGTGGTAACTTCTTACAGGTAAGGGGAATCACCCTGATTTCAGCATATACACATCCTTTGTTTTCCCAAGGGAGAAGGGAATACGTGGTGACACAGATTCATCGGGGATTTTTAAGACAGTAGCTTGGGGCTCATAAATCCAGATTAACAAAATCCTCTCTAGCTCTGCTCCAGAAGCTTTTGTGACTGAATCATGCAGCTGGTTTTTCTGAGCAAAAGGCAAGAAGCGAATTGAGTTGATGCAGCTCACTTGGTCAGAAATCATATCTTTCAATCTGTTCAAAATACTGTTTGCAAAAGCCTTTGGAAGTCAGTAATGGTTACAAAGATGATATTAAATAATTTTTCAAAGAGATTAACATCTCAAGTTAAGCATCTAACTTGGTGTGCAAAGACAGGCAGTAAGTATTTCCCTGGCTCTGCAGTATGTGATGCTGAGGGGAAAAAAATCCTAAAATTCAATCTTCTGTCCCAGCCTGCACCTTGCTGATTTAGAAATGTCTTTCTAATCCCCACAGTTGATCGTGGAAGCTGGGGATTTCCTTCTAGCGGATTATTTGCCGATTTCCCCCTTGGCTTTGTGGATTTCCAGTTTTTGTGGCGTATTCTCAGAAGTGTATTTGCAGCCAAAGTGGCTGCTTTTTCCAGAGCCATCTGCAGAGTTGACTTTTGCATTTTATTCAATATTTATATGCTATCACTTTGAGGAATTTTGTTCCATCATGCTGTCTGCTGCTCCACTTCAGTAAGACCTGCCTTCTCTTTCATGTAGTGCAATTAAATCATTTTGTTTATACAGTATCTTTCTCTGTTAGCTTCTTAGGCTCATTTTAAAAGTTGAAGTAACAGAAGCCTTTTTTGTTGCACTTTTTCTGTTTTGCGTGTTTCTGTGTTGCCAGCAGCAGGCAAGACTTCACAACGCATTAGAAAATTTAGCTGCCAAAATGGGAACTTAATTCTGCCAGGAGCAGATGAGGAATGTCATGGGGGTATACGAGGGGGTTTTTAAAAGTCATTACCCATCATTTCTGGTGTAAACGGAGCCCTTTGACAGGAGTCCAGCACAGTCTGCTGGATTTGAAGGGCTATTATCATCTGGGCTCTTTGGTAAGCGCCATAAGATGCAAGCTGGGAGGAGTGGTGGAGAGGAAGTGCGGGTCTGAGTTTCCAAAGTTGTGCTTCCAGGTGCGTTTTGAGAGATTTGTCCTAGATCAGAGCAAAGAAGTCTGGGAAGTGTGAGGGTGCAAAGCTCTCCGTGCATCCTCCACCTGCCAATGCCTGCCCCAGCCCCGCGGCTGCTGCCCGCAGGGTTTCCCCAGCCGCTGTTGGCCTGCGGGAGCCCTCCGCTGCCGAGCCAGGGCTGCAGTGTCATCCCCACAGGAGCAGGGGGATGTCTACAGAGGGCCATCAGGCATCTCGGCTCATTTCACAACCTACATGAAAGGATCTGTCAAGCGTGTGTTATCCCGTCAGAGTCCAGCTGGGAAATGTGAAAGGGGAAACATTGGTTAATGTTTAAAACCCTTTCATAGATAAGGTGCAGGGATTAAATAACCTTAAGGAAGTGTCTAATGCAGTTTGCTAGGGGTTTAGGCCTTACTTTAAAAATTGAAAGAATTTTAAACCAGGCAGTTGACACCTGTGTGAATCTGGTACGATGGCGGACCAGTGTGGATCGCCTGTTAACAGAGGGAACGTGTTGCGCGAGCATCTTTGCTCAGCATCGCAAATACGGGAGCTGCCTGCCGAATCTGTGCTTCTGCAAACTTCAGCCTAAATGGCCAAAAGTGACTTAAAGCCAAGAATAAACACATGACAGAGGAGACACCTAGAAGAGCACTTAATAAGAAAAGAAAAAAACTCAGGCCATGGCTTATATTTAGGTAATCAGATGAAAGAAAGCACAGGAGAATTCCTAATTATGAAGCCTATTGTATCATGTGGATATTTTCTCGCAGTCCCTGACAGAAATCCTATAGCCAGAGTTGTCAAAAAATCAGCTTATTTCTGTGTGTGATTTCGCTGAGAATGAAAAGCTGCTTTTTTTTTTTTTTTTTTTCCCTCTCTCTCTCCTCCACATGGAGCAGCTGCTATTCCTCCATTAACTTTCAATCAGAAACCAACCCCTTCCCTTTCTGGCATCTTAAGAGGCTGCTGCGCTGATCTGTCAGGCTAACAATCTTTGTTGCAGCAAGCATGAGCGGGAAAACCTCTGAGGGAATATGTATGCAATTAATCATACTGCCTTGTCAGGTCACAGACCCACTGAATGAATCAACCCCAAAGTTTGATATTCGAGAGGCTGTGCAATTTGCTTTCTGGTTTGATACGTTAGCGTGAATGCTGTCATTACTTGCACTGTGTTTGATGCGCAGCTCTTTGGTGGTCTAATGGTTTTAAGTCTCGTAAGCCAAGAAATCGTTTTGCATGCATGGGATGCAGGGCTGGATATGCAATAAGAAGAGAAAGAATAGCCCATTAATTTATACAGCCGTAATTTGCATGTAACATTTCAATATAAAATATGTTGTCATAGCTGTAAAATTATGTACACAC